ATTTAAAAAATAATAATAATAATAATAATAATAATAATAATAATAATAATGGGGTTAGGGTTCTGTAGCCTAGTGGTCTAGGTGCCTAACCCTCCACAGACGAGGTCAATGGTTCAATTATAGCTGGTGGTAATTAATTTAATTAATTATCTCTATAATCTTTGGGGCTTTTAAATGCGGAACTCTGTGGTGGTAAGACCATGTGAAGTATATATTTGGCCAATAAAGAATTCTTGAAAGGAGTTCCGAGCTATGGAGAAGATCAGGCACTATGTGTGACATGGGTCACAGAAGGTATTACTGCAAAAGGCTGTACGTGTGAATCCACGATTGGCAAGGTAGTACCAACAACCCTAAGGCAGTATTGGGATCTTGATTGGAAGGACGGCTGTATGTAGTAATATCCAGAAGTGGTGAGAGAAGCAGTGAACATAATAAGGGCTGTGGTAAGAAAATGGCTTTACTAAATATAGAACACCTCTGGCGCAATGAAGAAACAAAGAAAACTGGTTAAAAGAAACCCCGAAAAGCATGGAAGCAAGCACCCTGGTAGTATGAACATAAAGACGGCTAGTGAGTATAGTCGCACAACCTATATGGAAGTCTATGATGAAACATAACAAAAGCGTGGGTCCCAGGTTACTACTTTGTGGCAGTAATTAAATGAGGTTCTTAACTCCCTCCTAAGGATCTAGACTTCTGTATCACCATACCAATAGGGAGTACTAAAAAAGGGGTGGTAACCTAATTAAGTGGTGTACGACATTAATACCTGGACTCATGTGAACAGCTCTTCTAATGGCAGCAGCAGGTGGCTTGAGATACAGGTCTTCGGACAGCAGCAGCACCTGGCTTGAGATACGGATTAGGCTCTGAAGTAATATACTCGAGGAATACCAAACTGAAAGCAAGAAGAGCACCCACTCCTAGGACACCAATTTGGAAGTTATACAAGATACGAATTAGGAGTAATGTGATAAATGATGAGGGGTGGATTATAACTGGTAGATGTTGTACAGTAGTATATATAGCGGGATGTATATGAATTAAAATAGGTGAGCATGGCCTACTATTGATCCAGAGGAAAACCCCTAGCAAGTTAGGGGCCAAAGGGGAGGTAAATCTGTAGCTGGACGGTTACACTTGGGCACCTTAGGGCAGCCGAGTGAGCTTTGTTACAGAGTCAGTGGGGTATAGTTTCTAGAAGTTTCTGTACTAATAAAACCTTGTACGTCTTGATAAAAAGAGACACTTAACTACTGAAGATAATAAAGCAGGTACCATTTAAAAAAAATAATAATAATAATAATAATAATAATGTATACTTTAAAGTTGTTTCCGATATCCCATTGGATATTTTTGATCTTGGTAAATATTCTTGCAAAGTAAAGCCGGGGCGTAATGGAGCATAAAATGAACTGTCTTTTGCAACTTGACCTAAAAAAAAGAGTAGATAAAGTCTTTTCTGATTGATATATTGTAAAAAATTATAGTATGCTTACCACATGCAATATAGGTATAAACCATTTAATCATTGGCTGTTAAAGATGGCAAGAAATTTAAAGAAGTAATATGAAATTTTGTCGTGACTGCTTACAAGGTGCACCATTTATGCCAATTAAACATGTACATGTTTCAATCGCAGTGTTTACAGTGTAGAAAAGACTGTTTTGCCTTGTGCTTGACACCAAGAATTTATTTTCTACTTCAGTTTTTTGAATCAAGTTTGCATCTACAGTTTTCCACTCAGTACATAAAAACCTTCTTGCATTTTGTAAATAACCAGGACATTTATGTGCAATATTAAGTAATTGTTGCTCATAAAATCTTTCCATTTTTGAAATTATATAGTGAAATACTTGTATAGAATTATATGCCTGTGTTCTGGCAAAAACTATATCCTTTAAAATTCCAAAGCTGTGCTCAATATAGTTATTAGTATTATTTCCTCTAACAAGTAATCCAGAGTAAAATAACAAGACCCAAAAGTAGTAACGTTCTCATAAATTTTCAAAGTGTTGTCTTAGTGAAGGATAAAAGCCTTGTTTAAGCTCATTATATTGTAAGTCCATCTCTAAAAAACTTGCTACATAAAGAATTTTTTTCATTTTATTCATAATTGGTATCCGATCATTTTTACTAATACAATGTTTTGTATTATAAAGCCACCTCCAAAAAGCTTGTAATATGTGAAATGTATATAGAAGTCGAATTGCTTGTGGCCAACAAAGCTCTAGAGCATTACACTCTGCACTTGAATCATCTGTGAGAAAAATTGCTAGCCCAGTTTGTGGACCACGTCTATAAAATGCATATGGAGAAAGAATTGTTTTCAATAAAATTAACTAATTTAAATTTATTAGTACCGATTTTTATTTTAAAAAATATTAATTAGAAGTCTAAAAAAAATTTATTGCAATTTCTATTGTAATTTCTGATTCATCTGAGATAATAAATAAGCCAAGAGGAAGAGCACCAGCAGAGCAACTTGTATATAAAAGTGTTATCGAAGTATTAAGAGGCTCAAATGAAGCTGATGCATCCATGTAGCATAGTTCTCCTGTCTGTGGTACTTTCTCATGCACTCTAGACATCAAACTAGTTACAATACACAGAATAAATGCATTTCCACTATATGTATCATATCTTTGCAGTACAGCTTTACCATTCTCTAAGTTATTATAATCACTCACTATTTCTTCTAAATGATCAAACATACTTTTACTATTTCGATTACCAAGTGTAGCTTCACAATATTGATGAAAAAGTCTAACAACATAATTATAATCTGGATTGCTTGCTCTATCTGCAAGTAATTCTAATAATTCTTAATCATTAGTAGCAGAAAGATGAAGATCATCTTCATGTGAGTATAGTGCTGAAGCAGAAGAATGCCCATCATTAAATAGACTCAAGAATTTATTGTGTATTTCCTCTTTAACACGTCAAAAACTTAAAGATTCTGCAGAATCAATTACATGATTGTGCATGAATTTGAGATTTATTTCTAATGAATAGCTTAATTCAAGACACCATCTCTCCAACCAAAGATGGATACTTGCATTACAACAAATATTTCATGCACAAGATGATTGAGGTCATTTTGTTTCACGATTTCCCTGCTTTTTTTTCACTTCGTTGCTATGTATACAATGGAGCATTTCTTTAAAAATAACCTGCTTTCCTTTAATTATATAGCCCCTAGTCTGGGGCATTGTTGTTTTTGAACATAATTCAAATTCGTGAAACCATTCGTATGCTTTCTCCTTATTATTAACATTCACAAATATGTCAAGTTCAAATTGTGGTATTTCAAAGTTTTCAGATGTTTGGTAAGATAGCAGTTCTTTAAAATTTTTGATTGAATATAAATATTGCTGTGGAAGTATTGGTTTTAAAATTTCTGGTAGAGAATTCTAATTATTTTTTTTTTGATATCATCAAATAAATAAATAAATAAATAATAAATAAATCAATCAAATCGGTAAAAAAAAATTTCTTTCAGATAAAATTCATTCATTTATTAACAATAAGTTTCATTAAAGTCATCAAATCATTAAATTAATTATGAGTATTTAATATTTGTATATAGCAATATCGTTAAAAAAATAACCTTTCATTCGTTAAAGTAGACATTTATCAAAAAAAAAATTCTTTTTGTCAAAATAATTACATGTACCAACATCAGTTCTTTAAGTTCAAAATATCGTTATTAACTGCACTCAAAATTCATACATACCATTTTTGAAATTTCGTTAGCGTAAAGCAGAAAAGGGCATGAGAAAATCCAATAAATGTAATATTATTGATTAGTATAGAAATTTTTAATTATACGTACTGGCGCTACGTAATAAAAAAGCTAATTATAGTAACTGTGTAGTACTGTAATAAGTTTATTACGTACGTATGTATTCTGCATAATCGTTTGATTGTGTTATTGTTTGATCACTGTGGCTTAGGCCAACTGCGCCATAAACCTAGCACACATTCAAGGAATGCGATTTCACAGTGATGTTCTTGAAATGCCCGATGCTTTTTTAGCTGAATTCAAACTATAACTCATATAACTATTCTGTATTGGAGTTGTCCAACATTTTTTTAATAAAGCTAATATTCGTCAGTTCCTGGTTTAGCGCGACAATGTCGCGCAGCTACTTATTTGTAACTTAACAAAAATTTACGTCGCGCTGTAAACTTTCGAATCAAAAAATCCACTGAAGCTTCATTGGGACAACTCTATCGAATCACTACTATAAATGTATGCACAAAAATTATTGACATTTCTTATCGATCTATTTTTTATTATATTGTAATAAAAAATAAATGCAATATTTTATTAAATACATAAATATCGCTAAAAAACCCCCTATATATAAAAAATGTCTCAATCATCAACATTATTTTCTAAAATTAAAAATCAAATAAATCACAATAATTAGTCGAAACATTCTTCAAAAATTTTACAAAAAAAAATTGTAACACAAACGTAATAGTAAACTTTAGCAAACAACACATTAAGATTGCAAACTAGCTAAACAATTTCTGCCAATCTCTAACATACATACGTATAAATAAAAAATCCTAAAAAACTCAAACACAATTAATACAACTCAACCTAATAATTAAAATAACCACTAACATTCGAGCTACTTATTAATCACATACCAAACAAAAAAAACAACAGATTAAAATATTCTTTTTAATCAAACACGTCCTAATTATATACGTATAGATTACACAAACGTCAATTAACAAATGAAAATTACCGTTACTGATATGACATTCGTAAAAATTATCAAAACTATTAACTATTTAACAAATTAATAACCCAATAAATACATAACTATAAAACCTCATGCCAATACTATATACAACAATACTTCTACTAATTACATACAAAAAATACAAAAAATTATAATACAAAAATTACCACTTCTACAACAATAAGAGGGCGCCACCAGCGCCCAATTACACTCTTGTAGAAGATAAAATTTTCCAACGTGACACTGGATTGAATTCGAATCAAATTCGGATTTACTCAATTCGAATTATAACCGGATTCATGAAAGAGAATCTGAATTCAATCCGGATAGTCCTGAAAAATAGGATCGAAGCTCTAATATTATTATTGCTATGTACAAAAAATTAATTTACGTAAGATACATTAATAACATATTTATAATTTATTTCCAACTATAAACATAACTATAGTAAAATTAAATCTCGGTATTACTGATGTACAAAATAACCACCAGCATATTAGGATTGTTCGGATAGGGTTTCGGAAACTATGAAACTTTCAGATTTGGCAAAAAAGGTTTCGTTGCCAACTCTATAAACTATCCTTCAGTAAAAGAGCTTTCAGTAATTTATTTCTAAGAAATAGAATGTCGGAAAAATATCATTTGGAAAAATGGCATGCCAGTAAAATATACATTCATCTTTTTAATATTCGGTGAAATTGAAATTGCAGATAAATGACTTATCAGTAAAATTTATTACCAATTACTAAATGATATTCTGTAAAATGAGATTTTCAGAATTATGACTTATTATAAAGGATGATTTCGGAAAATGCTTTTTCAGTAAAATTGATTTCGGGAACCCAAAATATCAGCTAGCTTATACTGGCTTAATAAAAATAATAAATTATATGCTAGCTTTAAGTTACACACGTATATTGGTTTAACTTGTGGAAATTACTGATCCAGAAAGTTATAAATATTATAAATTGGTTTTGTTTTACTAATGACGCGGAGAAATTGTTTCCAGTATCACTATTTATTACGAATTTTCTTGCCAAATTTATCTCGAAATTTTGAACAATATTTATTCAAATTTTATTTTTGCCTACTATCTCTAACTGCGACGTTCTCATGCCAATTAGTTATACTGGATTCATATCTTTTTTAAAAAATTATTTTAAAAAAGCTAATTTTATGAACGTTCAAAAACTTTTAGAATCACTTGGAGATGTTTTAAACGATTATTATCCTCTGGCTGGTACACTTAAAGGTGCTCCCGATGGTAGATGACCAAGGTGTTCAATTTACCATTGCTGAATGTTCTGACATTACAATCAATCAACTTGAAGAAAAGAATTGGAAACATGCAGCTATTTCTAACGGAT